TTAGTTAGTTAGTTAGTTAGTTAGTGATTGATTTTGTAATATACAGTAGTTCATAGTGTGAGATTGTGGTATAATGATAAATCCCATGTTTAACTTCTCTCCTTTGCCTTCTTAAACAATATGGAAATCCCATTTCAGTTTCTATGTTTTTAGAGTATAACATTTATTGTTGTTCAACTGGTTATTTGATTTATTAGGTAATTTAACCACAATTTCTTTTTTGCACATACTAATGAATCAAAATCTACTAAGGCAAAACTCAATGGGGAAAGTTCACCTTTACAGTAATAGGGGAGAGGGTGGGATATGAACTTCCTTTTGAATGCCATATAGTGTGCATAAATTGTAGATTTCTTTCATAAATGGGGCTTTGAACCAAATTTACTTTAAATGAATCTGTACATCTTGTTTTGAGGACCCATGTCTGAACCAAGATTGCTTTAAAGAATCCATGTAGGATTTCTCAGTCTCTTCAGATGAAAGATGGCAAACTGCAAAAATAAAAGTTGGTATGTGAACAGGCTCATGGAAGGTTAGACAGTAAATCACACAATTATTCTACAGTGTAGATATTCTATGCTACTTTGAAATCTGAAGGAGTAAAGATAGTGCCCCTACTATTCCTCATAATTAAAATTGACAATTTAAAACTATGAGGTTTATGTTTGTTTATAGCACCCCCATCTGACCATGAAGGAATACAGAGCATGATAACTAACAGTTACAAATAATGTCAGGAATAACTTACATTGCTGTTGCTTAAATATATTTAAATATGTTATTTTGTGTCATCGTAATGTTATTACTTTTCTTGTATAGTTATATCATAACAAAGCATTCTGCTAGATAGAAACAAATTTTGTGATAAAAATGTAGATGAACTATTCATTTCAGCTTTAGTTTCTTAAGGTGATTTTTTTATGTCAAGAACATGGATGTGAGGAAATCTGGCTGTGACATCTGCCACCCCACTGATTACCAGGGCTGTTCTGGCTAACTAGGGGTGTGTCTTCTTCCTCCCACAGTGCTCCATGTGTGTCCCTCCCAAAACTGCTTTTCCATGAAAGAGAACAAATATCTCAGATAGAAGGAGTATACCATTCTTCAGTCAGGTCATACAATAGCTGTGCTCCTCTGCTAGAACTTCCAAACAAGCTCATCGCCCATTTGTTAAGATGTCAAGAGCAGGACACTTGGATGGACAGACTTATGACTTGATTTATTGATTGGAAAATCAGGATGTGAGAAATCTAATTAGGAAGCATAGAATCAAAGACATAAAGTTTTGATCTAACAATCCATTAAAATAATGTTAGTTTTAATTGGAAAGCCCCAGGATGTAAGCCCAACCAATAAGTATCCAAGGAAGTAGCAACCAGTGAAATTTTAGGATAACATCACAAACATAGCAGCCAATCAGAACATGAGATGTCATATCTATGGTACTAAGAGGTATGCTACATGCTGATATAGTCAAAGGGGAAACTTCTTCCTGGATACTAGGCTATGCTGCCAGATTCCTTCTAACTCTAGATCCTTAGCTTACTTTCAAGATGGAGAGACAGGACATTTTTGTTTTTGAATTTCCTTAGTTGAAGCAGAAAAAAAGGATAGTCCTCTTCAGAACTTTTCTTAACTTTCCTAACTTTTCTCTGCAATCTTGGCATTTTCATCTGAAGCTGAAAATCATCTAAGCATTTTAAACTTTCCACTGGAATGCATGGACATGTCATAAAAACACTACTAGTTGAACTCAAGGAAAGTTTATAATTTGGCATGATAGATACAAGTATTTCCCTATATGTTGAATTAATTATTTAGATACTTAAGTATGCTTACCCTAGAAATTTTGGAAGTTAACACAGTTCCACCTGATATGAATTAATGTGCTTTTTTGCCACTTGTCTTAATTCCTAATTTACCATGTATTATATTTTAGACAATTATATTGATTTTATCAGTAATTCTGTTGCATGAACCTAATTCTTACATTATAAAATATATGGATCATTTTGCTTATTTTTCCAATAAATTTTAAATCGATTTTTTTTTTTTGTGGTGCAATCTTAATTTATTAGTCACCATCAGCTTCCCAGAGCAGCGTGGCATAAAGAGGATAAAAGAATCCAGCTCTCAATCATGACCAACTATTTAAATGAGTCCACTCTGGAATCAACTCCCTATCGCATTATTAAAATATCATCATGTATTTCTGTTGTGTCTAGTTAAATTTCTCTGTTTGTGTTTGGGACTAGTGCTCATCTTTATGTGGTTACTAGTTTTGAGAAAGCATTAAAGTATTTATTATTATTTTTATCAAAGTAAGTTGCAACCCAAATTATATCCTAATTACTGTCATACTGCATTTGTGATATATCCATTTATAAGCCAGAATGTACTTGGGAGAAAAATGAGGGCATATTTATAACAAATGGAATTTGCAAGTCAATAATTTACACTGAGGGTCTTAGAATGTATCTGATGGAAGATATTTTGTACATATCTTGGCTTTTGTAATTGTAAAAAAAAAAATTGTAAAAGATTGCAAAAAAAAAAAAGCTCAGTATAAATGTAGTTATTTAATTGGATTGTGCCCCTCACTCCTCAAGGGTAAGCAGAAGGCACTTTGCTTGTACAGGGAGGGTAACTGATACCACTTTCCATCATCTGCCCGAAGTTCTCCACATTCTCCAAAATCAGATCTTGAATGATGGAAAGGATGTCTGAGGCAGTGATTTTGAGTTCAGAGGAAGAGACTATAGGCCATGCAAGTAACCAAGGATGAATACAAATGAAATTCCTTCTGCTTACCAAGTAGGATACTTAAATCCAAGCCATGGTTTAGTATAGTGCCAACTTGTAGGTTCTTCTCCTCCAGCAGCAAGTCCAAATGTTTTGACATCCTGTCAATGTAAAAAGACACCACTTGTTCAGAAGCATATGGATAAATAACAAGTAAAAAATAATAATTAAGAGACAAGGCAGTGTATCTTTGTATTTTTTCTTAGATGTACTTGTCCATCTGTAATGATAATTTTTCTACTGTATTATGAAATGTGCATGCAAATTATGTTAATTTGGAGAGTGGGGGAAAAGAAAGAAAATAGCTTTGCTAATTTGAAACTTGAATGTGATGGTTTTTCAGTTTTGGATTCCTTGACAGAAATATTTCTTTTTCCCCCCCACAGACGATTTACGAAAACAGAATATACAGCCTTAAAATAGAATGTGGCCCTAAATATCCTGAAGCACCTCCATTTGTAAGATTTGTAACAAAAATTAATATGAATGGAGTAAATAGTTCTAATGGAGTGGTAAGTTTTTCACCATTTCTATCCTAACAGTAATATTCTGTCAATTTTTCAAGCAGAATAGGAAAGTAATACAGGTAGTCCTTGACTTACAACCACAATTGGGACTGAAACTTCTGTCGCTAAGCCGTGCAGTCATTGAGTTGTGCCTGATTTTACGACCTTTTTTGCTGCAGTCGTTAAGCGAATCTGGCTTCCCCCGTTGACTTTGCTTGTCAGAAGCCCCTGGGAAGATTGCAAGTGGCGATCATGTGACCCCAGGACACTGCAACCATCGTAAATACATGCCAGTTTCTAAGCGCCTGAATTTTGATTGCATGACTCTGGTGACACTGCGAGGTCATAAGTCACGTATTTCAGTGCTGTCATAACTTCAGACAGTCATTAAATGAATGGTTGTAAGTCAAGGACTACCAGTAAGTCTCTGTAAGCATGCAGCTAATTATTCTCTTTTGCAATTTTTCTATTATAAACTTTGAATAAAATATATATTTTGAAGTTGTTTATTGATGAAGATATAGGTTTTTTTAAATTGAGTCATTTATTTTCAGTCTGAGACCAGTTTTTAAAAACATAACAGTACAATAGTATATCAAATATAAAACAATTAAAAAAACTTGTACAGGAAAGCCTGAAACAATTAATAGTGTGAATGAGAACCAGTTGACTTCTATGAGCCATAGCTGCTGTTAGAAATTTAGCAACCTTTTTGGAAACAGCTGAGATTTGATCTCATAGGAGAAAATTAATGACCTCTGAAGAACAATTAAAATTTCTAACAATTGGTGTTGTAAGTCCTGTCCTTCATTTAGTATATAGTGGACACTCTTAACGGTACATGAGATACAGACTCTATCACTGTATTGTAACATATACAAATACAGTTTTCATAGGGAATGCTGTTGTATCTGCCAGTTGTTGCCCTTATAGGTGACTGGCCAATTTGGGCCAAAGTGAAAAGTCTTCTATGTGAAAAGGTTAACTGTTTTAAAAATATCTGGGAATAGACCAAGGCGGGGTGATTATTGAGCTATAGGGCAAGTGGGAAACTCTAGTTCTGTTGAAGATCTAGGTCCCAAATCCTCTGTTTGAGATTAGCTATGGCTTTGTCAGGGCTCAGAGCAGATAAAGCCAGGAAGGAAAAGCTATAATAGGCCAAAACAGGTTTAAATAATTTTAAATAATAGCTCACTTTTGATAAATATGCCTCTTGAGGTGTTAAAAGGAGTGAATAATTTAAGCTATTGAGAAAAGAAGAATTTTTTAGTATTTTTTCTCACTTCCCTCTGACAGTAAATTGCAGTATAAAATGGTCCAGGGAGGAAAGACTATGTATTTATTGAAGACGTGTTTGTTTATTCATAGTTATTACATGCATACCCACTGCTGTCCGCAGATTCTTGGTGGTTAATAATGGCCTTATAGCAAACAATAATAAAAATACAATAAAGCATCCATATTATAAACTTTAAAATTGTAAACTAAAATAACAGTAACAACAGCAATAATAAACCAAGGTGTATTTTATTCTCCATAGACTCTCTATTCAGTTTTTAAAAGCTTGCAAACAGCCAATAATATGAGAGTCAATCAAGTACATAAGAGGGTGATGGCTGATCAGCTTTGTGTGTTCCTAGAGGATCTGAATTGTCTAGACCCATTCCAGTCTGGTTCCATTCCAAGGATGGCTAGGTTGCTCTGACAGATTACTTACTCCAGGGAAAAGACAGGAGGATACAATTCTGTTGATCCTTCTAGATCTAAACAGCTGTTGATATCACTGAACATGGAATCCTTCTGAGTTGACTATCTGGATCAGGAGTAGGAAGCCCTGTTTTTTGTGGTTCCTCTCCTATCTCTGCAGTCAGCTCCCTATGACATTTTTAGGAAGCTTGTGGGGGCTTCTTTCTGACTCTGTGACTGCTAGGAATCTGGTAGGGGTCTATACTATCTACCTTATTCAACAGTTATTTGAAGCTTCAGAGATCATCAGGGAGTATAAAGCTTTTATTATACTGTATTGTTTGTCTAACCATAGTTTTTTTTATATATAGTTACAGTCGTGTGAAAAAGAAAGTACACCCTCTTTGAGTTCTATGGTTTACGTATCAGGACATAATAAAAATCATCTGGTCCTTAGCAGTTCTCAAAAGTAGGTAAATACAACCTCAGATGAACAACAACACATGACATATTACACCATATCATTTATTTTACAAAAATAAAGCCAAAACGGAGAAGCCATGTGTGAAAAACTAAGTACACCTTATGATTCAATAGCTTGTAGAACCACCTTTAGCAGCAATAACTAGCCATGTGTGAAAAACTAAGTACACCTTATGATTCAATAGCTTGTAGAACCACCTTTAGCAGCAATAACTTGAAGTAATCATTTTCTGTATGACTTTATTGGTCTCTCACATCATTGTGGAGGAACGTTGGCCCACTCTTGTTTACAACATTGCTTCAGTTCATTGAGGTTTGCAGGCATTTGTTTATGTACAACTCTCTTGAGGTCCTGCCACAGCATTTCAGTCAGGTTGAGGTCTGGACTTTGACTGGACCATTGCAACACCTTGATTCTTTTC